CGGCTTCTCCCCTTTACATCCATTTATGGGGCCATCTGTCAGCGGCGGGCGGGCGCTGATTGGCCGCCGCCGCGCGGGGAGGCGTTGCGACATCAGGTGCTATTGAAATTAGCCGCTGCCAGATTGACAATGTTAATGATTTGGTGACCTCTACAACAACAGAGACCAGATTTCTGAACTGCTGCTTGTATCTAGTAATTAAGGCCCGGTTGAAGAAACAACACGCATCCCTGTATTTTTTATTACTTTTTTTTTTTTACCTCTTCCCACCCCACTGTCGCAGGAGCCCTCGGCCGCAGCGATGTCATACCTCGGCCATGCTTCAGTGCCTACATCTTCTTACCTCCTGCACACCCGGCTCCCAGGTCCGGCGTATTTTAACTACCTTATCTTTTTCGACAGTTGCTTTCCGGAGAAATGCATATTTAATGATCTGCCTCTAGGCTTAAAGGCACAACAAAAGCACTTCGACGTGCATTTAAAGCTGCATTTATTTTCAGGTACTATTGATTTTAATCATCAACCCATCTCTCCTTCCTTCAGCCCTGTGATGTTTTTTTTTTTTAAATACATATTTTTAGAAGTGAATCTGATATTGCTGCCACTTGACGCTGTCTAAGGCGCAGCAGACACCTATTTATCAGAGCGCTCCCCCTGAACAACAGTAGTATTTCAGAATTATTTCACCACCTCACTTCATTATTCTTCAGCTCTACAGGAAATAAAATAACGGCGAACTTTGGGCATTTGAAAGAAATTTTTTCTTCCCCAGCCTTAGAGAGGAACGTGCTTAACTTAACAATGCACACTCATTAATCCTCTGCTCACTGCCACTGACAAACTAACAAAACTTCACTTCCAAATAGCAATATTTTACCCTCTCCCAGCTACAGCAAGTTTATTAAAAATTCTCACAAGTTAGGAAGCATTCATTTCTTTCTCTTAGTTGGAGTTATTTTCCTAAAGCATGTTTTGGCCAAAGTAACAAGGCATGGCATCCTGTAATTGCAACTAACCTTGAATTTACGTTCGTCTCAACTAAAGCAACCCAGTATCACACTATTAACATACGTAGGAATCATTTAATTTTACCATTCACACATTCATTTCAACAGCCAAATGTTTTTTTTAGAAATTCAGTATCATTGCAAGCATTTTTAAACATAAGAGCTAAGAACGGAGAAAGCTAGGATGGGCCATGTTATAAGCTTACTTAGCTCTTTCCTGGAGAAAAACCTGGCTACGAACCACCAAAACCATTTTTGAAAATGTATAATGAGATAGGCATTGTTCTAGAAGTTTTATTCTTTTTTTAAATTACTAATATGCCCTTCAAACTGCTAAGCTCTGAACTGACATTCTGTACATTTTAAATTTCTTTAAACCATAGTCTCCGCATGTGTTTGAGCGTAGCTAAACACACCAATAAGACATGAAATATAGTAAGCTTATAAAAATCTAGCTACAAACAGATAAGCAAGGAGAAAAAAAAAAAATCACATTTAAGACATCATACAATGTATTTGTGGAATGAGCACTGAATTCAATTAGAATATCAGCAATGTAAAAGGCTGCAGAGGATTTCTCTCAGCCATGCATCTTTTTGAGCACATTTGTAGCTTGGTAAAAACTAGTAAGATTAAACTAGCTCAATAAGATAGATTTCCTAACTCAAATATTTGAGTGACCTATTAGACTGAACACACAGGCATCAAAATGCTACAGAGCTAGTATATTACCATACATTCTCGTGTAAATATACATCAAATATTAAAGTTACATTTGTAATGCAAATTTTTACTTAAGGTCTCTTCAGGGGTTAATAACACCAAAGAAGGCATCCAGAAATTATTTTTAAGTCTTTTCAACTTCAGTCTACTTCGTTACTATAAATTCGTTATGCATATCAAAAGGTTCAGCCATTTTTCTGAAACAATAATTGCACGCTGCTCCTCTAAAAAATTAGCTATCTTGTCTGTCTGTAAATCCAGGTACCCTGCACACTGACCACTTTCCCAAAAAGCACCCCACACATGCAGTCTTTCCAAGGAACGCTAAAACAAACGCTCAAACATCCTCAGAGGCCTCTCTCTTGTAAAGACAAAGGCAGAATCCTATTGTTGAAAAAGTCAACCTTATTCTCGTGTTTCCAATAGTACCATTATCTTTCAGGGTAAGGGACTGACCACCGCATCACAGTTGTGACATTTGTAAAAGCATCAGATTCTCAATACAGTCTCTCCAGCATCAGCCAGCAAGCCCCTGAGCAAAGCATATTTTTAATGCAATCTTCCATCCCCACAAAAAAGAAACTTGTCTTAAACAGCTAATCCAATATCAAAATGAAATCACAGGGTTGTTTCCCAGCCCCCCCTCCCTCTCCTTACCATAAATGAGCAGTTTCTTGACTCATTAATGACAGTTTCCCTTAAAAGAAGTGATCTCATATCACTGAGCCCCTCTCCACCACGCATACATCCCAAAGGTTGCGGGTATCTTAGCATCAGTAGCCGCTAGCAAGCTCTCTCATACAGAGCCCAGATGGACTATACCAGAAGCCAATTCAGCGTTAATAACTACCTACTCTGTGCAGTTTAGAAGCCTTACGTGGCATAATGTCCTAGGCAACAGCAGCCGATTGAAACCGCAAATAAAAGACAACCCAATTCTCCAAAAGCATCAAAAGGAAAAAAATAATAAATTGAAGAATGATTTTTTAAAAAATCTCTTACTTTCATAAGATTAAACTGAATCCTTCACAAACATATGAAAAAGGAGAAAAAACAGATGCTGCCCAGAAAAAGTGACAAAATATTACCTCATTATTTAACAAAGCAGCATTAAGCGTCCTGCTGATTTCAAACATCTTGCCACAGATTTTGGTTAAGAGAAACAGAAAGAATCCTTTGCAAGCCCTCTGTCTGCAAAGGGTTCTTCAATTTTCTTGCGCACAACAGAATAGTCAATATGTTATTTCCCTAGAGTTCGCACATTAAAACATCTAGTCAGTGAGCTGAATTTTCCCCTTATCACACTGTAGACTCCTGTTATATGTACTGCTCTTTGCAAGATTAGCCTGCCCCAAACATGGCTGTTGTTTAAACTATTCTTTAAAGTAACAGTTCACTCCATAACCACCAGGTGGGCAGTGTACACAGATTCAAGTAACCATCTTAAAGATTTTTCTTGGAATAGCTGCTGGTTGTGATATACAGCATAAATCCCCCCTACATTTATCAAGCAGGAGGGAAAAAAAATATTTTGGACTGTTTTACCCCCTTTCCTCCCCATAAGCAAGCCCACACACAAAAACCCTAAAATCACTTAACTTTTACAGTTGGTTTTTTTTTTTAGAGGGACTTTAAAATTTATACAGGAGCATTTCATTCAGCAAAAATTAACTAGATGATAAAATCCAATCAGTTCTGAGAACAAAGTGTAATTAAAAGGGAAAGCATGCCCATAGAAATGGTCTGTACTGCAGAAGAAACAAAATTAGCTTTAAGTTCACCACGACAGCATTCGTTCATGGAAACACAAAATTCAGCATGTAAGTAATTCACATGTGGGTAGAGTGTTAGAAAATATGAACTATACATTCACGCAAATTTGAAGACAACTTGATAAGATACTGCTGTGACGTATTTTGGCTTAAATTCATTTATAAAACCACTGCTGCACGCATCAGAGCACAAGACTGAAATACACGGAAAGAATCCAGTTTTCAACGGCACCCAAGTCTCCCAAGTTATCAAACTGTCCCTGTTGCTACATGTCTGCAAACTATTTAAGTCTGTGTCCCCCGTTCCCCCCCTGCCCCCCTTTATTTGAGGTTGAATACCTCAATGAATACTTCCATTACTATAAAAGATATGAATTCACTCAATGCTCTACAGCAACACCCAGAGGTTTGAAGGAGATTGGGATCTTTGTGTTAGGTGCTGTACAAACACATTTGAAAAAGTCATTTCATATCAAAGGATTTACAAACAACATTTACAAGACTGAAGCACAAAACAGAGGTGCAAGTACGAACAATAAACAACGAACATCACAAAATGTCTTTACCAGCTGGGATGAATCGCTGGAGAATAAAGGCATCTCCGACAACTACCTGTGCAAAGGCAGAACCCAAAAGATTACTTGCTGAGGTTAAAGAATAAATGCATTATATGGACAAGGGCATAGTCAGATTTATCACCTACAAAGTACCATAGCCTAAGTCTTTCATTTATAGCAATCCTTGCTGAGTAAGTATATACAGAGTAGTGATTTTCTTTGTTGGCCTTTAACTAATATTAAAGTGATACGGTAATGACTTAACCTTCTTGAATATGTATTGAGTTTCAAGTCATCCCTTTTTATATGAGGAGAAAGGTTATTTGCATCGATTTCTGTTTGCATGAAATAAGCTTATTTTCTCATTCACCATATGCCTTGAACACTAATTAAAAGTGTCACTTTCTTCTAATGTAAAAACATAATCATTTAGTAAATAAGTATTCTTGGCTTTTTGGTCTTTGTGATAATCTATTTAAGGACTTTTTATTTCCAGGTAACTTTAGTGCTTTGATTACCACACATTCCTCTGATTTAAAGAGGAGTGTTTTATAAATATACTTTTTTTTTCCCCCCAAATAAAAAGAAAAAAAAAATCTAGAAGTGCATCTTTAAGGACCCACACTCCTCTTACCCTGAGGCAAATCCATCCAATCAATATGAAACCATTCACATGCCACCATCTGCCAAGCTGTAGAGCAATGTGGCTGGAACAGACCTCTTATAAAGCAGCAGTGGTCTCATTTTCAGCCTATTAGGGAAGCACCAGAGCTCTCATGTGCAAGGACACAAAACTCCAACTCAGACCCTCTCACACCAGTTTCTCCATGCACTGCTGCAGAACTCCTGTAATTTTTGCTGCTTGAGTTTTCATGCTAATCATCAAAGCAAGAGGGAGGAGAAAATGATCAGTAACAGCCCTATTTCACTGCAGCATAAAGAACTCGGTTTAATTCTATCCTAATATGATTACAGCAAGCCATTTAAACACTGCTGCCTACAAACTACAACCTGGCATTTTCCATCACCTCATTTTCCACTCTTCCAGAGGACTAAACATTTACACCTAGAACTGTGTTAGTCTTTTCCAAGACATTTCTATCAAAGTTAATATTTAATTCCGATCAAAGAGTATTTTGTTGTTTGACAGATGGGAGGGTGCAGGTGGATGAGGAACAAAGGAGATGCATGCGAGAGCAAGAGATGGATTTGAACCACAAAATGATTTAATAGAAGACAATGGGCTGGGAGAGGACATTACACAATGCAAGCACTAGGGCTTGCCCTATGCAGTAATTCAAGAACTTCTGCGGTAACAGTGTAGTTCCAAGATATCACATCAACACTATCTTTCACAACACTGAGCTCACACATGCCTTTTCATCAGCAGATCTCATAATAATTTAAAATATCGTCCACCACCTATACCACTGGCAAATTCATTGCATGACTAACTAAAAAGAGCAATAGAAGAAAAAGGGAACACGAAGAGGTGCAAACCCCTTACAAATGTACACGGAGAGAAGAAATGAACTATTTTAAAACCATCCATGAGATGACAAGAAAATGAGAAAAGCCAAACATGCAATTCAGTGATGCTGAAAGTCAAACTCAGGTGGAAAAGCTAGGGCCAAATTGTTCATGGCACCTAACCCAAAGTCAGACTTCAGGGAAGAGAACAGAAACAAAAAAAAAAAAATCAGTCCAATTAAGCAGACTGCCCTTCTCTGTATGTGTGTGCAGGAGATGGGATGGACCGGGGATAGAGGGAAAATGATGGCTAAACAGGTTATTTACCTATACAGTAAGTTTTTTTCCATTGTTATTTGAAGATCTTATAAACAAGTCTGTATATACAAATAACAGTTTGTTTAGCTACTGAATAGTTTAAAAACAACCAGCAAAATAAAACACCCTACCAACTGCCCTGTGGAAATCAAGCTGGAGTGGGTGATCGAGACTGTAACATTGCATAACACTGGAAATGTTCTTCAGGTAACTGCTCTTTAAGGTTAGTGGATTCACATATTTGAGGAACAGAAGAGTCAAATTTTTAAGGTTTCACTACAAAACAAACACAGTCATGATAATCGAGCACTACACACAAAAAAGAAAAGGCTGAAATGCCACACAATTTTTGAGGAAATAGTAGGTGAAGAAGATGACTGATACAACTTGGAGCTTTTATTAGTTTCTTTTATTTGATGACTCTCTCAGGAACCTGTCCCTGCCTCCTCTTCTGTCCCTGCTGTGGACCCCACCGACAAGCTGTACAAGCTCTGCTGCTGATGCAATGTACTGTCTGGTGCACTAAGATTCCTCCCGATGCTGGAGAGATTAAATATGCCACAAATCTACCTGGAAAAATTACCACCTTTTTGATCTGTGCCCAGAAAGAATTAAAAAAAACCCCAAGAATAGTTAGAGATCTAGCTCCTTAAAGAGGTCTGGAATGAAAAGACACTAGATGCAAAACCAGACAAAAACTCCTCCTATATACTTACAACCCTAAATGGGGAATTTAGATACATGAAGCTTAGGCAAGTAGTCACAGTTCCCACATAAATCACACTTCAGCTGCTTTTGCACAAATATGCTATTTAATGTTGCTTGCCCACTTTCTTTTTCATGCCTTATGAGATGTGTAATTTGGATGCTGCATAGCTGCTCTAAGTATCACACACCAATTTTCCAAAGATGTGTGTATTTGCAAATCCCACTGTGGATACTTATGTTTGAACGCTGGGAGACTGCAACAAAACTCTCCAGGGCACACCAGAGCACAGAGGTAACAAAATGAACAGATGTAAATAGCTCCGATGGCAAGAGAAATCTTAGTGATAGGAACCACATCCTCATTTTCAAAACTGAGAGCTGGGCATCCACACAGATTTAGGCATGCATGTATGTCAGTGAATAACCTCAAAGGTTTCCTGTGGATGTCAGGGTACAGGCCAACGAGGGAGGTGGGCCAGCCCCTTGCTACAATGCAAGAAGAGTTTGGAGAAGATGATTCAGCATCTTCCCAGTGCATCCGAAGGCCAGTGATGTCCTTGGCACCTTGGCTCCATGCTCCTCTCCCAGCTCCTAACTAATGCTTTGCAAAACATGGCATCCACTCGGTCAACTGCCTGGCCAATTTTCAATACATTTTAAAGGACCCACAGTCAGTGCTGCAAAACTGAAAGGCAAAAGGCAGCATATGTGCTAGGTAAACATGTTAATACAGCAATGAGAGATACCAGCAATTCTTTTCCCCCTTCCCCGTTCTTTTACTTTTGGCTCAGGAATATACATTTCAAAGCTTTCAGTCCCCTGATTTTTTCTTCCTTTTAGAGGTATTAAAACTTGTATTCAACATCAGACATCCTAAATTCTACAGCTTGCTTTCCTATCACTACAAGCAGGATTCAACCCTACCTACAGAGTTAAAACATTTCTACAT